ACATAATGTATTAAAATGTAACATAGAAAATATAACTATAAGTGATCATGCACCTATTCTGCTAACTTTAAGTACAAGTGAAGAATCTTGCTTTAGATACTGGAGAATGAATGTATCGATCATCTCCAATTAAAATATTGTCAAAGAAATCAAAGAGTCAATTAAGGAATACTTTGAAATAAATGATAATGGGGAAGTTTCACCAACAATATTATGGGAGGGAGGAAAAGCAGTGATAAGAGGGAAAATTATAGAAAAAATAATCTAGGATGAAAAAAGCCAGAACGAAAGAACAAAACGAGGTGGAAAATAAGATCAAAGAATTGGAAAGGGAACACAAATTAGGGGATAAAAATATAATGGGAGAACTTAAAAAGGCAAAGGATAAATTAGAAGAGATATTAACTGTCAAAGCAGAAGGTTCTCTACGCTTTACAAATCAAAGGTATTACGAAATGGGTAATAGGGCGAGTCGTCTTTTGGCATTTCAACATAGGAAAGCCCAAGTAAATAGGCACATCTCCAAAATAAAACACCCCTTGAATATGCAGATTAAAACACAACCGAAAGAAATAGCGGAAGCGTTCGCAGAATATTATAAAAACCTGTATGATTATTCGGACAGAAATAATCAGGAAGATGAAACCTCTTCTTTTCTCAAAAGAATTAATCTCCCAACCATATCAGAAGAAGAATCGCTGGAAATGACGCGACCTATAACTCCACAGGAAATTCTGAAAGTTATTAAAACCCTCAAAAACAACAAATCCCCGGGGACAGACGGACTGCCAGGGGAGTTCTACAAAACATTTAGGGAAGAACTAACGCCAGTATTATGTAAGGTATTTAACTATGCACTAACGATGGGAGACCCCCCTAAAACATGGTCTGAAGCCATTATATCTGTGATATATAAAGAGGGTAAAGACTCAACCTTATGTGAGGGTTATAGACCTGTGAGTTTACTATGTAACGACTTAAAAATACTAACTAGTATATTGGCAGAAAGAATACAAAAATATATTAAAAAAATAATTAAACCAGATCAAACAGGATTTATCCCAGGCAGGCAGGGAGCAAACAACATTAGAAGGACACTAAATGTAATATCATGTGCTAAACTTAAACCACAATCTTCCCTCCTGATTAGTTTGGATGCCCAAAAGGCTTTTGACAGGGTAAAACCGAGTTTTCTATACCAGACATTACTAGGATTTGGGTTTTCAAAGCAATTTGTTGAATGGGTGAAAATAATTTATAAAAATCCAAAATCCCGAGTTCGAATTAATGGATATTGCTCAGAATTTTTTTATCTCAAGAGAGGAGTTAGACAGGGGGACTGTTTAAGTCCACTACTATTCACGGTTAATATAGAACCATTAGCAGAAGCAATAAGACAGAATAAAAAAAATCTTGGAATAAGAGATGAGGGAGGGGTAGAACATAAAATATCATTGTTTGCAGATGACTTACTAGTAATGTTAACAGAGCCACTAAGGTCAGTACCAGCTCTATTAGAAAGCCTTAAAGAATATGGGAATATTTCTGGATATATAACTAATGAAAGCAAATCGGTAGCAATGATGTTATCAGGTGAATGTCCAGCACAACTAAAAGAGAAAGTAAAGTTCAAATGGACCAATAAAGGATTTAGATACTTGGGTATAATCATTACACCCCAAACTACACAGTTATTTGAAACAAATTACGAGAAGCTAAGGAAGGAAATTATAAAAGAAAGATGGGAGATTCTACCTCTCACCCTTGAGGGGAGGGTAGAGACAGTCAGAATGAATGTCTTACCGAGACTAGTGTTTATATTCCAATCACTACCAATCTCTATCCCCAACTCGTTCTTTAAAGAGATGGAAATAAAAAAAATCAAAGTTTGTATGGCAAAATAAAAAAGCAAGAATTAAACTTAAAATACTCCAGTCCCCAAAGAGTAATGGAGGGCTAGGTTTACCTGAATTAAAGAACTATTATTGGGCTGCTCAATTGAGAGCCATAGCCCTGTGGTTAGCAAAGGATCAAGAGACAATATGGGTAGATATGGAGCAAAGGGCCTGCCCAAATCTGTCCCTAGATACACTGCCCTTCACAACAAAGAAATCTCAAGATTCAAAATTACTGGATTAAGGAAACAATTAATATTTGGTCAAGAATAAAGAAAAAATTTAACTTTCCGGACTCTATATCAAGAATTGTAAAAATAACTAAGATTCCAGACTTTATCCCTGCTACTATGGACACAGGGTTTGAGAAATGGACGAAAGGGAGACTGGTATTTATAGAACAGCTTTTTAAAGGGTCAACAATGAAATCTTTTGAACAAATTCAACGGGAATTTAACTTACAAAAAAAAGATTTTTACAGATATCTGCAGCTCAGACATTACCTTCAGAATCATAGTGAATGGCAGAAAATCTCAACAGACATGACCAAGACGGAAGAAATTCTATTATCAATAGCAAAAGGTGAATCAAAAAAAGCTATGATCTCAAAACTATACAAAAGCCTACAATATGAATCCAATATCAATAACAAGGGGATTAAGGAGAAATGGGAATTAGAGGCTAATATAATAATAGCAGATGAGGACTGGGAAGAAACATTCAGCTTTGGACACAAATTAACCAACAGCCCAACATGGAGGGAATTTGACTGGAAAGTCAAGATGCGTTACTTTAGGTCTCCAATTATTACATCTAAATATGGGGGGACATCTTGGCTATGCTGGAGAAACTGTGGAAAGGTGGGGGATTTTACTTATATATTTTGGGATTGTCCAAAGGTGGTTAAGTTCTGGAAAAATGTGCAAACAGATATAAAAAATATTTTAGGCATTTATTTCGATCTGGATATATCTGGATATATTTTAGGAATAATTCCCATGGACTTGACCAATAAAGACAATAAATACTTGATCGGGGTCATGCTCCTGATTGCGAAGAAGTGTATAACATCTGCATGGTTAAGGCCACAACCTCCTAGTATTACAGAATGGAGAGATAGAATCAGAAAAGACTACATCATGGAAAAAACAACATCAAGACTACAATTTAAGCTGGAGACCTTTGAAACTAAGTGGAAACCTATAGCTAAATTCATATTGGGACCTTGACACCTCTTTGTTTTTTTTGGTTTTTTTTTGTGATTGTGTCTTGACTTTATCTTCTATTGTATGCTTTTATTACTTTAATTTGTTTTCCCAGTGTGCCTACTGTTGTACATTTCACCTTAATCATAGTGACTTATACATCCATGAATGTTATTAATGAATATGGGTTTCTCTTAATTGGGCTAGTGTTTATTTGAAGGAAATGCACCTTTATTTGTCGTTCTTGGAGGTTCTTTTTGTTATTTTCTCCTTCAATAGCACCTGGATAACTGTTAACGGAGCTGGAATAGACAGCCTGTATGTCTGATGTAAATGAAAGGTCTAAAATGATCTAAGAAGATATTAAGATGTGAATTGTGAGATGTGACATGGATGGACATATGTATGTGTTGATATAGAAATTGTTATTGAAAATAAAAAGTTAAAAAAAAAAATTATTAACAGCCAACTCATGTGATGGATAGTTATCGTTATCGGCTGTGATCAGCCCTCTGGGTGATCAATATTGGGATTGCCATCAAAAATCCTCATTGGAGTATCCCTACTACATACTAACAGATGAAAATATGATTAAAAGTGTAAAGGAAGAAAAAAATAAAAGCTTGAGCTGGTTTCCTCAAAAAAAAAAAAAAAAAAAAAAAAAGGGGAGTTTTTCCTCTCCACTGTCACTACAAGCATGCTTAGTGTGAGGGATTGCATTCGAGTCAAAGATTCAATGCGATCAACTGGTTTTCCTTAGATAGAAAACTTTCAATCAATTTGACTGTATTATCTGGTTGAACTGTAAAGTGCCTTGAGATGACATGTGTTGTGAATTGGCGCTATATAAATAAACTGAATTGAAAGGGAATTTAATGTACCCCGAGAGGACATGGAGCTTTCTGGAGCATGATAACAAAGGGAACTATATAGTATACAGTACAGTTAAGTTAAAGAGTTGATGCAATCAGCTGGTTTTCCTTAGATAAAAAATCTGGCTGTATGAACTGGTTGCATTAAACCCTTTGAGAACAGGCACTGTAACTTAACCCCGGCTACATGTGCTACAACATATGATGTGAAATGTAAATACTTGTAAACCATTAAATGGTTACACAGATAATGCACAAACAATACATGGAATTTTAAAACTATTATATATAGTTCAAATATATATTAAACAAAACAGAGACACACAAACACAGATAACCAATGCAAACACACTTACACACAAGTACAATTTAGAGAAGCCAATTAACCTGAGAGTCATGTGTTTGGACTGTGGGAGGAAGCTGGAGTACCCAGAGAGAACCCTTCTTGCTGCAAGGCCACAGTGCTACTTACTCTGCCACCCTTCAGCCCTGACTTAACAAACATTTACATGTATATTTGTAAAAGTTATTAAGGTTGTGCAGGTCAAGAGAGTAGGGATGCAAATCATACATTGCAAAAGCCAGTTGTGTACCAACATTAGCTTCAACATTACCTAGCAATGAGAACAACATCAGTAAACTCAACAGTAAAGATGCTGATGGAAAACAACCTAAAATAGAATTTAACTTCCATAAAATACAAATTTTAGTTTTTCCAGTAGCACATAAAACATTTTTTGTGTAAATTAGCTTGAAAACCCTTGATTTTTATGTTATTAATTGATTAGAAGAGTAAAGTGTTTTCACCGTCTTGTAGCACATTTACAGTACAGCTTATCAGTGTCCGCTGTACCTGACCTGCTGGTGTTTGCATAAAGGCCACACCAACAAACATCCTAAAGTTAAAAAAAGCCTCAGCAATCATTAGTATTAAAACAAGACCACGATATAATATTAATGATTTAATTGTTTTATTACCACTGGCTTTTCAATGGACAGTTTTTAAGAATTCTATCTATATGTATATATATAGAGTTAAATAGCAGGTTTAAGAAGACTTTTGTTATTCTTTCTAAGTAGCTGCATCTGGGCCAGCTTCATCAGCTTTATCTTCTTCATTATGATGAGTCAGCACTTCCATGAGATAAGGAAGGCTCTCGCTGCGCAGGATTCCTTCACTTTTCTGCATGAAATTGTAACGTCCATCAGCCATGGAGTCCTGCACCAAATACTGTTTGGTCACCGGCACATCTGTTGGCTGATGAATCTCAAGATCTTCAGCGCTCATCCTGGAAACATGGAAGATTTTTCAAGGTCAAATAAAATCAATGTATTTTCCAGGAAATAGATTTAAAGGGTTTAAAATTGATTGCTTTATTGTAGACCTGCATTGTGTCTGATTTGAACACATTTCCTTAGTTTTAGCCTTGGATTACATCTGAAAACAAAATGATTTAATTGCATACATATTTTTTTTCTTTACCTTGACAAAAGTTGAAATACTTATTAGCAACAAAATATTGTTTATGTTTTTTCTTTAGGCTGCAAGGTTTTTATGTAGATAATTAAACCACTCATTATAATCTATATTGTCTGGAAGTCAGGCTTTACTTTACTTTACTTTACTTTACTTTACTTTACTTTACTTTACTTTACCTCAAGATAAAAAGTATTTTTTCTTTTTACATTTTTTATATTCATATTTTATTTACATATTGTATTTATAATTTAGATATTAAATATGTTTAAATGTTTATTACTTTTTACTTAATTTACTCATCCCCCTTATTTTCTCAGCTCATTTTTTTGTTTTTCCCCCTATTCTAGACTCTTTTTCGGTTCTCACTTTATACTTTATTTGATTTTAAAACAAACAAAACCCAATATGATATCAGAGTTGCGTTCAAAAAACGAAATACAAAACCTACTCAATTAAATGTATTATAAAATCTACATGAACACCTAATCAACGCTTACATATATTACCCTTTTATTTTAAATAAACACATACGCTTTTATTAGAAGTAACCATTCCAATCCTCATCTCCTGTCACAAATACAGTAGTGTTGTAATTGCAAGAAGTGGATCAACCATCTTTTCGCTAAGACTGCTGCTTGCCAACTATAGACAGAAGTAAGGTGAATAACTTAACACATTAGGTATAAGAGTAAAGAAAGTTTTTTTTTTTTTTACAGAGGCAGAAATCTCAGGTATATATGAATAAAAAAGATGGCTTGTTAGGAATAATAGAGTCAAGATTTAAATGTATGTTTTTCTAAAGCTTTACCGCCAATGGTTCACGTCTTTGGACTATTTCTAAACAAATCATTTGTATATTTTGAATAGCATTACAATAATTGGGAAAAGGAGGGGCCTAAAGTTAAATTGAAAAAGCACAGAGAGACGTTTTCATGACATAATACTACAAGTTAAAAAGGATCAGCACTGTTTCTTTTCAGTTCTACATCACCTCTAATGTGTTGTTGACTAAAATATTCCTTTCATACAAATGAGAATGCCAGCTAAGGGTGTAACCATAGATGTGAATAGTCATTAAGTCTTTCTACAGGCTTTGTTTTCTCTTTCATACAGTCTAACTCCACCTTTCAGGACTACAGCAAAGCATCTTGTTGGTTGGTCAGATGTCTCACCTCATGCAACACACCTGTATGGTTAAGTCAGTACGGAGAGCAAACCACTTCTTTACGCTATCATTACTGGAGCTGAAAAGGTACGTGGTCTGCTACTTTTTAAAAGTATTGTGGTAAATGTGAAGATAATTTGAAAAAAGTATAATTAGTATAAGAGATTTATTCAGTTTCAAAGTGATCATATTTATTTGACCTCAGAATTAAATTTAATTGACACAGGAAAAGATTAAGTAAGTAGTAGTGGTAGAAGTAAGTTGGTACATAAGATATAAAAAAAATACTTTTAGTACTGAAGATGTGAAAGTATTTTAAGTCACATTTTTCACATTTCAAGTTGTTTTACACACACAATTTCTGTCTAAATTAACATTATTGACTATAGTCAGTTCTTGTGAAATCACTCTCTAAATATTTTGAACACAGTGCCACGTAAGCAATCTAACTTTATTTTCATATTGGAAGCTTCCTCATTGTTGCACATAGTAATGTAAAAGGAATGCAAGAGGAGGAGTCGCATCGTTTTTTTACCTTTAATCGTCAAGCAAACAAAAAACAAGCTATACATTATTTGTTATGTATAACCCAGATTTTATAATAAAAATATACAAAATAATTCTTTTTTTTTCAATGGAAAGCTTTTTAATTTTGCTAATTTAATTTTGCAATCAAATTTTTTTTTTTGTTGGGGGGAGGGGCTTAGGGCATAGTAAATCTTTTTTCGGTCAAGCTTTGGTGGGTTTTTTTGTTTTTTTTTTCTGTTGTGTTCTATCCACCATTCTTCTACTGCTTTGTCTGTCATGGGGTACGGATGCCTATCTCCAGTAGTCTAGGGGAAAAAGGCAAAGTACATCCTGTTCACAATTTAGGGAAGCTAATAAACTGGCAGATTTTAATAATAAATCCAAAATGTGATTAAAAAAAAAAAAAAAGCTGTTCAACGTTTGATTTGAGGCCCCAGGTTATTAGTTGCATTTATTCCTCTTCCTTTAGTATCCATCGTCCTATCCCCCTACTGATAAAAAAGCCTAATAGTACAAAAAAAACAATCCTTAAAACCCTAAGCATTTTGGATCGATTCCTCACCTGTGGAAAATGTGCAGTTGAGTCTTAGGTATTTAGAGCTCTGTGCTGAAACAGGTTGCAGTTAAAATAAAGAAATAGTTTCTTTAATTTTTTGGTGTTTATTATCAATAGTTATTTTCAACTGATAACAAAGTAAAGATTTATAAAGCTAAATTAAGATTTTTTTTGTCCTTCACATCGCAGTTCATTCTAAGCCACAAAGTACCAAGAGACAACATCTTGCTGTTCTTTTTGACATATCTTACAGAGGATTTATTGGTAAGTAAATCGAATTACTTCATTAATATGATTTGGAATTCCCTAACACATATTATCTGTACAGGGATAAAGTATGGCGTTTCACCGTAACATACGCTTGGCTCTTATTTTAACATTAATATTCAGATCTGCACCAAAATGACTAGAAATGATCTTAGACCAACCCCACACAGGAATGCAGAACAATATTTTGTGGCCGTGGATTAACTACTCAACAGCGCCCCCTAGAAATTAAGGGTAGTCAAATCATTAGCTCCAAGCCATGCTTTGCCCAATCATTCTGACATTTTATACACATTTTTATCTCACCAGGACCTACCAAAAAGCCTATTGGAGCATGTTCTAAACCCCACAGCAAGTCAGCCATTTTCAATTAAATATTACCCTAATGTAAGGACTGACCAACTTTCAAAAGTTTGTAAAAAAATTGGTCATTCATACAAACAAGCTAGGATTTTTAAAATAAAAAGTTTGTAAGAAAATATATTATAATGATACAATTCTTTCGCATTGCAGGACACTAAAAACCAGTGACTTGGAGGAGCATCACCAGGATAAAGGCTTCCTCTCACCTCGCCCTCTCTCACCAGCTAACATGGGACAGCCTTGCTTGTCTGACTCTTTCAAACACCCTTTGTTGCCATATGCTAATCGTAAGCTGAATTAGGAGTTATTCTCATATCAGAAGTATGATGGCAAAAGGATAGAATCTCAATCATTTTAATTAAGAACACTTTAGGTCGACTCTAACCTTAATAATTACAGACCAATCTCTTTCATGCTTAGCAAAAGCTTTTGAAAAACTGGTAAAATAAATTAGCTAACTTTACTTACAAAAAAAAGTAATTTAAATGAGTTTCAGTGGGGATATTGAGAAGTGCTGAACAATATATATATATATTTTTGATTATATTGCTACTCGTTTGGAGAGAAATAAAACTTGTACATCTTTTTATCCACCTCTCTTTAAAGTAAACTGACTTGACATCTAAACATCATTTTGCCCCACAGGACCCAAGAAATTAGACAACGCTGGAGAAACTTCAACTGAACAGAATCAGAATTAACTTGGGTTTTGTGCTCTTTCCAGGTCAAATATTTACATTAAAAGGGGACATATTTCAAACATGTACCAACTTTATTAATTTATTTTACCCTTAAACGAAGTTAACTTTCTACTACTTTGCTGTAAGTGACAAAAGCAAGAAAGGAAAGCTAAAATATTCAAGAAGTACTATGGCAACTTCAAGCATGTCACCAAAACAAAAATTTCGGTTTTATCTTTCCCGTGGTGATACTAATAACACCTTAGACATTTCAGATGTTGAACAAGCTTTAAATACTTTCAGAAACTCTTTTAATGCTGTTGTTAATAGGCATGCTCCTTTTCAATGTTACAAACGTAGTAAAAGTTTTTTTCCTCCGCAAATTCTTACAGATGGAGTCGAAATATCAGAACCTAAAGAAATCTCTGAAGCTTTTAATAAGCATTTTATAGATGCAGCTAAGCTATTTGAAAAAACCTATCTAGGAGCACCTGTATCAACAAATGAGGTTGATACGAGGAATAAGCCGGGGTCTTGCTTTGATTTAGAATACTTTTCTAGGGACGAAATTTACAGAGTTTTGCTAGATATTCGTTCAAAAAGTGCCATTGGTGCAGATGGTCTTGAGCCTTCCTTTTTAAAATGTGCGGCAAAACAAGTAGCAATGTACAGTGAACACATTTTTAAGCTCTCGATTTCGAATGGTACCGTTCCTGAAGTCTGGAAGTCAGCTTTTGTAACTCCCATTCCCAAAGGTGGTGACATCACTGATCTTAATAATTACAGGCCTATCTCTAAATTTTCATGCTTAGCAAAAATTCTTGAAAAACTAGTAAGCAAACAGCTAGTATCTTTTCTTACTAAAAACTCGATTTTGCATGAATGCCAGTCTGCATATAGAACAAATCACAGCTACATTACAGCATGCACTGTTGTTTTAAATGATATAATTACCTATTTAGATACAAATAAACACTGTGGAGCTATTTTTGTGGATCTCTCCAAAGCTTTTGATACTGTGGATCATGCTGTGCTACTCCAAAAACTTCATAGTATTGGATTTTCTAACAAAGCTTTGAACTGGTTTGAAAATTATCTCCAAGACAGAAAACAGTGTGTTTCTATTGGAAACGTTCAATCAGATTTTCTACGAGTTGAAAATGGTGTTCCTCAAGGCTCTGTTTTGGGTCCTGTTCTGTTTAACATCTACATGGCAGACATTGCGAATTCCATAAAAGGCTGTAAATTTCACATATTTGCTGATGATATTGTTCTGTACTGCAGTGCAGAGGATGTTCAAACAACTTTCAGAACCCTTCAGCAATGCTTCCAAGAATTAGAAGCTGAATTTGTTAAGAATAAGCTAGTTCTAAATGCAGAAAAGACTAAGTTCATGATTTTCAGATCAGATGCAAATGTTGAAGCTCCAAGTGTCCTCTCTACTCTGAATGGTAAAAATATTGAAAGAGTCACTAAGTACAAGTATCTAGGACTATGGATGGATGAGAATTTGAATTTCAAAGATAATGTGACAATGTTGGCAAATAACTTAGAACAAAAAATGGCTTCTTTTGAAACAGGTAAGCCACAGAATAAAAAATTTAAAGAACTTTTGCTATCATTTAATAAGTGTGACATTTTGTACATGCATGCCACACCTGAGACACTTGAAGAGTTGGATGTTGTTTATCACTCTGCTTTAAAATCTATCAACAGCAATGAAGATGATGCTGATCATCATATGCTGCATCATGAAATGAGACTCCTTTGCCCCAATTTGATGCGTAAGGCTCGCTTGTTACTACATATATTCAAAGCTCTGAAAGGGGAGAAACCCCCTTACATTACATCAATGCTTGTCATTCAAAGAGAACAGCCAGCTGGTTGTGTTTGGCTAGAGGAGCCAGAGTCCTCTACTAATATTGGAGAAACCAGATTTAGCTGCTTTGGGCCCAAAACCTGGAATAAAATGCAGAAAATTAAAACACTAAATACCTCCGATTCTTTCTGGAAAGCCAAGTCTTTAATTTTGTCATATTTGACCTCCACCTGTACTTGTCCTTGTCGGGACTTGGAACATCCTAAGTGGGGACTCTAGGGTGTTATTTGCTTTGTTTGCCATAATCGTTTGCGTAATACAGAGATATACAGTAGGTGTTAAAACTTGAATATACATTTTAGAATAGGACAAAGGGTTAAAGTTGGTTGATAAATATTAACTAGTAGCATTTTTATTGCAGTTTTGTTTGGTTTTCAGAATGGTGAAATAATAAGAATATCCAGTTTACTGTTTACATGATCAATTTAGCTAATGTAACTGTGGCATGTTAAACTCTGTAAGCCTGATTCTACCTAACCTGAAAAAAGTCTTGTTCTCTATCATCTTAACTTACTGTGTATTTCCTATTTTTACATCATGAAATCATGTCTTGTTCTTCAGGTATTGCTCTTGTTTGCATCTTTTATGAAGATTTTAATATATATTTCTTATGTTTGAACTTTTCTGTATTGAACTTCTAAATTCTTTAATAATAATGTAAAGTTTTAAGATGCACTACTAGTTATAAATACGAAAGCTAGTAAAGTAGTTAAAGGATTACTTTTTTAATGTACTGAAGTTCTATTTTAAGGTTCATTTTAGAGAAACTTCCTTTTATTTTTAGTTTTAAAGGTTAACTTTAACTAAAAGCTTTGTCATGGGTCTATATAGGCTAGTTGAACTAATTGTAACAAACATGTAATAGCATGTCTGTAATCACATATATTTAAAATATATATATATATATTTTAACTGAACTTTAATGGATATTCTGCATGATTTAATCCAATTGTTTTATGGTATATTATTTTGAATTTTATTGTTATTTATTCTTTTTTTCTGTTTAATGATAAAGAAATGTTAATTAATAATAAACCTGATATCTTTTACCTAGATTGGTGACATGTCTTCTTTACTGACTTATTAAAATGATAAATCTTAATTAATACTCAGCTCTGTTTGCTCACCTCATATCAAAAGTGGAGCCTTTGAATGCTGGTCTGAGTGTTTCAGCTGCCGTTGACTGGGTGTAAGGGACAGAGAAGACGCCATTCTTCCAGTGCTTGTCCTTTACAATGGGAGCCAGGTTCTGGTACATGTCATCCACAGCCAGCATAGACACCTGCAGCAGATAAGAGGAATATTAAAATCCACATTTAGGTCTGTTTGTGTCAGAGCGAGGCTTTAAATACACACCTGAATGTTTCGGTCAATCAGCTGGTTGGTTTCAAAGTCATCATCATCTTCACCAAAGGGGTTGATAATGAGCTCTCCTACCTACAAAACAGAAATGTCAGGGAAAGCAACTTTAACAACTTAAATAACATCTTTCTGATTTAGAAAGATTATAATTATGACTTTTTTTCCTGCTAACATTGTTTTAATGGAGATACAGACCACTAAAACCTAATTTTCCAAATGTGCAGAAGCATCAAACAACATTAATTACTATTTGGTTTACCAGTTTTCAAGCTGTGTTTGAAAAGCCCATCATATTTCACAGTCCCATGGAAATAGTGTGTTTTCACTTTTGGAAGAAATACAATTATGCTGGTTCCTACAGTCTGCAAAGATATCTGCAGGTTTCATCTTCAGACTACAGGAAGAAGGTTTAAAAGTTTAGGTGTTTCATCTGCACGATTAATAATCAGAGGGCAAAAGGTTCCTTAAAAAGAATTTTACACCAAGCAAACTTTAACCTGTGCCCTTTATGACTTCTGGATGGAGCGTGTTAATTTAAAAAAGATTTATCATCATTTTGAATGCAAAATGTTTATTTATTTATTTATTTTTACAATTTTGGTATAATAATTGCTTTGAGTCGGTTGCTCTTTCAGCTAAAGACATGTTTTAGAGTCTGAATAGTTAACGATTAATTGATTACTAAATTAGATTTTGGATATTTCATTAACCTTACACTGACTTACATTAAGGCTCAGTCTACTGTGTATATAGCTATATACTATTTATGTATTGGATATAGCTATAGATTATGTATTCTCTAAATCAGGGGGCACCAAGGGGCCCTCAAGGACCACATGGGGGGCCCTCTTCGCCTTCTGAAAACAGAAGAACTCACTCAGTGGGTTAAGTTTAATCTTTTTTTATTCTGTTGCTCTTCTTTTTAATCATTTATGTATTATTTGATCATGTTAACTATTTCATCATATTTCAGTGGTTTCAAAATGACAATATTAAAAAGAAAATTAGAAAAGAATAAGAGATTAAAATAAGAATAAAAATGAGTGGATGAGATTTACTGTAGGTGAACACTGATTCCTCCAGTTCATAGGTCAGTATTGGTAGCCCTTCCTATGACTCGGTAGCCATGAAGTAGCCCTCAGCCTTAAAAAGGTTGGTGACCCCTGCTCTACATATATCTAATTTGTCTGCATCATCAACGCCAAGTCCGTTTCCCTGTAATTGCAAACCTATTTGACAATAAACTTAATTCTGATTCTGATAATCGATTAATAACGATTAAACCTATTAATTGTTTCAGCCCTCGTTACACCTTTAGATACACTTTTCCTTGCTGTAGAAAATCCCTAAACAAAAAATTGTTCAGATGAGTGTGAATGATACACAGCCATTCCTGGATCAAACCTTACTCAGCCATGCTTGACTGAAGCAAATTGTGCTAATTTTTTTTATTTAAATAATAACTCGTTAATAGACAGTGATGGCATTTTGATTACTTTGAACTAAACCGCAATATCTTTTTCCTTTCAAAGTCTTTATCTAAGGCTCCTTCTAATCATTAGCATGTTTGATATTAAAGACACTGAAGCAAATGAAAATTAGTTTAAAAAAAACACAGCTGTGAATTAAAGATGCTTCAACCTATGATCTACATTTTCTTTCTCAACAAAACTCAGTTCAGTGAGGAGACTTTTTAAAAGTGGGTTGTGATGAAACCATGACTCCATGGCAACCATTGGATGTTATACGATCACCATAGCAATGACTCAGCATTTTTACTTTGAAATAACACTAGAAATTATAGATGATACAGAATGTCCTCCCTGAAATATAGTGAAGAGGAACTATGATGCAGTGTGGAGGTTTGGGGATACCTTTAGCCAGCCGGTGTAGAAGAAGAACTGCAGCAGCGTGAAAACAGGAACATACATGTCAAATCTGTGACTGCCGTAGCCCTTCTCAGGGTTCAAAAACTGCCGGCCAATTACGCAGAAGGCGAAGAATGAGTAAACTGCGATGGTTACCACCTGAATTAGGATAAAACAGAACCTTAGATGATAATCACATGCAGGCATTACTAATTGCAAAACTGCCTCTAAAGACAAATCAAGGCTGTACTGTATTTGCAAAGAGCTTAACGTTTGGATTGTTTTGACTGCAATATATAATACAGCTCAAGTTCAGAGCTAAAGATGCCATTTAGATGGGAGGTAAAACATCTTAAAAAAATAGGTAGTTTTAATGTTAATTTAACTTCTTTTTTACGTTAATTTGACTTCTGAGGAAGAAAGTAAAACCAAATCTAAAACATCAGGTTTACTAATTACTTTTATTAATGCTCATACTTGTGATTTTGTGATAGTAGCTTTGTCTCCTCTGTTCCTGTTTGGCTGTGACGCTGTGCTGCTGCCATCAACACGTTTGTTTATAGATGTTGGAGATCAGCCTGTTTTTCAGTGTAGTCCTGTTTCTCTGTGCTCTCTTCATCTTCATAGTGTGAGGGGTTGTATTTGAGTCAATAAGCCAATGCAATCAACTGATTTTCCTTGGATAGAAACTTTGAATCAATTTGACTGTATGATCTGGTGAACTGTAAAGTGCCTTGAGATGACTTGTGTTGTGAATTGGCACTATATAAATAAACTGAATTTAATTGAATTTTATCTTATATTGCCATTTACAAAAGTTTTTTGCAGTAGGTAACGCCCTCACTTTAAGCTTCAAAACATTTTACCTGTAATATTTACAATATTTAAAAATAAGATGTCTGAAACAAATGTAACTGTCAATCCCACTTCTTACAGTACTCTGGGGAGTGGCGGCCTAGTGGTTAGGGCTGGCGTCTTCAACGTTTTCCAGGCCAAGGACCCCAAACTGATGGTGAGATGGAGCGGGAACCCCCTAATTATATTTATGGTATGAAATTGTGTTATATCAAACTGGTCCTATAGTCAGTCTATTACATACGGAGTAATGTAAGGAAAGTAATTTCACCCTGGGATTATTAAAGTATTTCTGATTCTGATTCCTGGTTGATGGGACAGGTGTTGTGAATGAAACGGTGCCCAGCTTGAAGGAGCTCCTGTGTGTCGCTGAATGTGTGCATTGATGACTGAAAGACATCTTCTGCCTCCATTAATCTGTTTACTACAGTGTGTTGAATTCAAGTTAATGTGGATTTAAAGACATTTCAATTAGTGGAAAAAATTGCAGGGGGGAATATAAAATAAAAGTTTCATCAACCAATTCTTTCGCGACCCCCATGCAGTACCTCTGCATGGTACTGCATGGGGTACCATGCTGTTGAAGACCTCTGGGTTAGGGCATAGAGCTTGGAATACTCAGGTTCTGAGTTCGAGTGACACTCCCTAAGACTGCCACTCTGGGTCTCTGAGCAAGACCCTTAAACACACACTGCTCTCTGGGCGCCGCACAATGTCAGCCCACTGCTCCCCAAGGGGATGGGTTAAATGCAGAGGTAAATTTCTGCAATGTAAGATCAATAAAGTTCAATTATTATTATTATGATTCTTGTTCATTTGTATCTCATCAATAATCTTATCCAAACCTATAGTTTGCTTTGAAAAGTGCAGAAAAAACATCCTTATCCTCAGACCTTAAAAAAAGCTGATTTTATAATATTTCAAGGGATTTTAAATCATACCTGAGTGTAGACCAGAGGGATGCTGATCCAGTCGTAGTGGAACAGCAGACTACACTTGGCTCGGTAGTTATTGAGCTCCTTCAGAGACAGGAAAAAATATACAGAGCATGTATGCATTTCACTTAATTTAACAAATGCAGTATTTATCTATCATGTTATTCATTAGGGTTGAGTGTGATAGTTTTTATTTTTAAAGGATAAATAAGGATAACTTGTTAGTGTAAGAAAGCCTAGAGTACAAATATATTTATACATTCTATATTATATTTAAAAGGTACTTTGTGTTTTAACAAAGTACTCACATCCATCAGCAGCCTGAGGGCGATGTCGTCCCTGACCCGGCCTTCCTGTCTGGCTTGGGCTGCCAGGTTAGAGAACCAGGTCAGGGGCATCCAGTACTTGTTAAAATCTGAGTGCAGAGACTCAAAATTCTTCAGCTCGTGTGCCGTCATGAATCCTGCATGAATATCGCACAGAAAAAAATCAATAATACAAAAACACTTAAAGTCAATGATTCAGTTATGAAAGAGTAAAAAGTTAAAGGGAGATGTAAAGAAAAGCAAATCTAATAATCAAGCTATTTTCTAAATAAAAGTTTTATTTTTCCTCTCAAAATATTTTTCCAAAAAACATAAAACAATCCACTGGACTTTGTTTCCAAGTTTGAAGACGTTTCGCTTCCCATCCAGGAAGCTTTTTTCAATTCAGAATTGAAATTCCTTTTGAATTGAGGATAGTGGATTGAAGTCGAGTGGATTGCTTCAAACTTGTTTCCACGTTTGAAACAATCTACTGGACTTTGTTTTAAACTTGGAAACAAAGTCCAGTGGATTGTTTTTTAACTTTTTTGGAATGACTATGACCTGGATGACTGAGAATCTTCAGAGGAATTTAGCTTATTTTGCTCAATCGATGCAATTTTAAACTTAAAAACAAATGAAATAAAAACAGAATGCTTATTATTATATATTGATAATAATGATTTATAGGGATAAACTTTAGTTGATGATTATCATGCCACAGGTCCACTGCTACTCTGGTTTTAGCGGCTTGATTTAATAAACAATGTATAATTTACTGGAAGCTGTATCCAAACATAAACATTAACTCTGGTTTATTTTTTTTTATTTTGATGTCTTCGAGATTAATGATCATTTATTTGTTTGCATTATCACTGTAAAAATATTACCCTTGGATTGTCTCGGCTGCACTTGAAACATGTCTTGAGAGCTGTACTGAAGGAAATTTTTTTTTCTATACACTCTGTGTATATCAAATGATAAGAAAGTCTGTCTAAATTATTTATTTGCGTTTTACAAACCTTTATGGACGTTATTTCAATATCTATATATGGAGGTAACCAAACAGGTCATTATTACCATGACTTATAGAAGGCTTATCTCAGTACTATTAACATAAATCTGAAGAGTATCAATGAGGTCTTTGACACAAACTGTTTAAAGTTATGAGTCTGATTAATTATATTACAGCATCCTGAAGATAAATGGACATAGCAGACAGGTCAGGGCAGGTTTAGTTAGATTTAAAGCTGGGTTGGGTTATAAAATAATATTCCAGCTTAGGAAATCTTTGAAAGTTCTGCTTAGTCCATCATCTGAAAATGGAAAACATAAAACACAGCAGTAAACCCGTCAACACATGGCCACCCAGCTGACCTGACAGCCTGAGCCAAGAAATCCACTTTAACCCAGGGGAACTACAGAGATCCACGGCTCAGGTGGACAACCCACTGGATTACCTAATGGACTACACACATCTGATCTCTATTAGAGATTGGCAAGAAGACAGCCAGCGCTGAAAGAAGGACTAGAATTTCAACTTTTCACTCCCCAAGTCATGAGGGGGGGTTGGTTGCACAAAAAGTGCTCTGATCTGCTGCAAACATAACAGAACTCACGTAAAACCAACACTATAAATCAAGCTGAACTTATCATCACCTTGATAAAACACAGTGGTGACAGCGTCATTATGAGGGGTAAAAACCTAACTGGTAGCTATCTAGATTTAATAAGAGATAAGATGAAGTTAAATATATAAAATACAGTAAAAAACAACTTCTTAGAATTTTGGAGGCTTGTGAAGAATCACCTTCCAGAAGAACAATAACAATGAACTGAGTTTATTTGTTAAATTTAAGTCAAACTTAAGACAAGTAATGAGCAGCTCTGGGGAAAGGTAATTTCACAGATATAAAATTAATTAGGAATTTGTTTTTGAGAAGTTTAAATAAAGCCAACGTCAGAGATAGAAAAGAAATTTCAGAAGTTATTGAAGCGAAACAGCTTTGTTTAATACCTTAAAAAAGGAAAATTAGCAAAGTTTTAAAATATATGTAAGAGTAATATTTTACGTAGTCATGCAATGGGCTGTGCTTGGCTAATCTCTTTTTTGCCCCAATAAAAAGCAGTTTTTTTGCAGCCTCTTTCCCACCTGCCTCCACGACGTGCTCCAAGGTCGGGAAACGTTTACGGACTCTGGTGCTGATTGAGCGCAGAATCAGAACTGAGGATAAGTTGGCGTATCTCATAAGGGTCCGTCGCAGCAGACGACCCCTCTCATCAGCACCGTGCACATTTCCTGACACCACCATCATCAGGTTATCTGGCAGAGGGAAACTGGTGTACTGACCCCACCAACGGGTGAAGGCCTGATTCACATAGAAACCTAGATTAAAAAAACAAAAACAAACGTTAAATAAAACTAAGAACAGGGATTTTGTGTTAAAATCAAAGAGATGTTGATGACAGAGTTTCACCAAGAACAAACAGGACAGGGATGAAGTTAGTGTTGGTGAACTGATCACAGTAAAGGGCGACACGCTCAAACAGATCCTGCTGCTTCGGTGTGAGGAGGACCCTGTTTACAGAAAATGCTTTTAGTGATGCTGCAGCAGTAAGCCTGGTGAAACGGTAGAATAAGCTCATTTACCTATAAAACACACTAAAGAAAAGGTAGACTGCACAGAAAACCAGGAACTCCTTATACATCAGCTTGTAGATGCTTCCCTTCCACCTTAACAGTAACCTGGAGAAGCCATGAAACCTGGCGTTGGCCACTTCAAGAGAGTATGAAACAGTCATGTTCAGGCTGCAAAAAACACAGGAGTTAAAGTTGAAATGTGCAAAACATTAGATGGAAACATTCAAATAAAAGCATTAAGGTTAAATCTCACCTGGGAGAATCAGTGTGGTGTTGGATCTGCAGCTCAACCCACAGCAAGAACGACTCTTCCTCTAAATCTCCATTTAAATCTTTCTGATGAGCTGTCATAAATTACAGCCTTAGCTTTATTACCTGAGAACCTGCAGCCACAGAAAATCACACCTGCTGAGATTGGAAGGGACTGCTCTTATCAAATGAAAACCAGATTGTTTACCTGCGGTAGACATGCAAGAAATATATTATAAAATTATTATTAAATATCATTATTAGATATATTGATACATACACATATATATATATATATATATATATATATATATATATATATATATATATATATATATATATATATATATATATATATATATATATATATATATATATATATATATATATATTTATAAAAACTATTTTCTCACCCCTCATGGGGTATGTGTCATCCTCAAGCTCGGGTCCTCTACCAGAGGCCTGGGAGTTTGAGGGTTCTGCGCCGTATCTTAGCTGTTCCTAGGACTGCGCTCTTCTGGACAGAGACTTCTGATTTTCACTACTGCCTTCTTGATGCAACAGTACAGAATGGGGGTCAAAACATTAAAAATGAAGGCAGGTGATCTGCCATGCTGAGCCCAGAGGGGAGCAGACAGATTAAAGTTTCTCGTTTGAGAAAATAAAAAAACTGCATCTTATAATTGATGTTATTCAGCTTTAGTAAACTTCATATATATATATATATATATATATATATATATATATATATATATATATATATATATATATATATATATATATATATATATGTTTGAAGTTTACTAAAGCTGTCTGCTCCCCTCTGGGCTCACCATAGCAGATCACCTGCCTTCATTTTTAATGTTTTGACCCCCATTCTGTACTGTTGCATCAACCCTCTCCTATCTCCATGTTTTCCACCATTGGGAATCTTCTCCTTGCGCTCCCTGATGTGTGGTAGCTCCATCTCCATAATAGCAAAACAAGACACAAACACACACACAAAGAAATCCACTCCGTTCAGTTCCCATTAAACTACTGCTAGTTTAATAGTCCCATGGCATAATAGTGTCACTAGCAGGCTTCACAGTTGGCACAGAGCTCCTAGGATTGGCAACCTAATTCCTTCCATGTGTTGTGGTCGCCGAATAAGACTTTGTCCAATTTCGCTGCAATGTTTGTCCAAAGCGCTTGGGCTGTGAAGGAGTTGCTCCTTGTGTATAGATCAGAATAAGTGGTTTCACTATTGTGTTTCAGTTTATGATTAACGATTAAGGATTGAGGATTGGTGGCCTCTGAGTTTCTGTCAAATATCTGACAATTGGATGGAGTTGATCACAAACACATACAAGCTGTTTTTGAAAGCATGAAGTAACCTAACATTCAGTGGCTGGAGTGCCCTTATTAAATAAAATAAAAAATCAACCATTTTAAATGTTGGAGACTCAGAACCGTGCAAGAGGACCAACCAGTTTAACCAAAATAGATACTAAATAGATAGAATTACATCAGCAGCGGGATGATTATTACAAAAAGACTGTGAAAAAGACTATAAAGCTAAACTTGTGAAATAACCTCATTGTCATGATGTGGTTGGTTTGCTAGCCCAAGATGCAGAACTCACAGAACAGACAGGCAGGATTCAAGTCCAATGTTTATTAGTGGCACAGGTCTCCCACCTGGGAGGCAGAGAATACAAAAACAGGTTAAACTCAGGGACAGGTTAACTAGCTCAAACTCACTGGTTCGCTGGTTCAGACAGGCTGAGTTAACAGGCACAGATAAGCAGATTCAGGCAGGCAGAGAGGCTCAGGTTGCTTCCATGGCAAGGACAAGGACAATGACCACGGCAAGGCATGGCAAGGCAGAGCATGGCAGAGCATGGCAAGGCAACGATCCGGCTCAGAGAGAAGCTATCACTCAGCTTATATAGGGAGAGGTTAATCAGCAGAGCTGATGGGAATCAGCTGAGCGCAGAGAACCAGCTCCCAGGAGAGGATCCACGGCGCCCTCTGGTGGGCAAACCTCTGGATCCCAACAGAAACAGAAGCCCACAGGAAGGGATCCACACAGCCCTCTGGGGGGCAAGCCCTTGGATCCCAACAGTACCCCCCCCTCAAGGGAGGATACCAGACGCCCAAAAACAAAAACCAGAAAACAAAAACAACCCACCCAGGGCGGGCGAAGGGGGAAACAGGCATGGAGGGCCAGGCACAAAAAACAGAACAGGGACCAAAAATCAAAACAACCCACCCGGGGTGGGCGAGGACGGGAAAAGTCTCAGGTGGCCCGCCGTGGGGCCGGCAGCAAGGCAGAGTCTCAGGTGGCCGGCCGTGGGGCCGGCAGCAAGGCAGAGTCTCAGGTGGCCGGCCGAGGGACCGGCAGCAGGGCAGCGTCTCAGGTGGCCGGCCGAGGGACCGGCAGCAGGGCAGCGTCTCAGGTGGCCGGCCGAGGGACCGGCAGCAGGGCAGCGTCTCATGTGGCCGGGCGAGGGACCGGCGTCTCAGAAGCTGCAGGGGCCTTGGAGGAGGACGCCGTCTCTGCCTCAGCAGGAAGCACCGAGGAAGACGTCGTCTCTGCTTCTGCAGGAAGCACCGAGGAAGACGCCGTCTCTGCTGCTGCAGGAAGCACCGAGGAAGACGCTGTCTCTGCTTCTGCAGGAAGCACAGAGGAAGACGCCGTCACTGCTGCTGCAGGAAGCACCGAGGAAGACGCCATCTCTGCTTCAGCAGGAAGCTCCGAAGAGGACGCCCTTTCTGCTGCTGCAGCTCAGCAACAGGCTCCGACTTGGTCACCCACTGTGGCTCTGGAACAGGAACTGAGGAGGCCGTCGATTGCGGCTCCGCATCAGGAACTGAGGAGGCCGTCGATTGCGGCTCCGCATCAGGAACACCGGAAGCCACAGACTGCAGCTTCACACCAGGAGCAGAGGACACCACCGATTGTGGCTCCACAGGGACAGAGGAGACCACCGATTGTGGCTCTACAGGAACACAGGAGGCTGCCGATTGCGGCTCCGGATCAGGAACAGATGAGGCCGCCCATTGCGGTTTCGCATCAGGAGCAGCGGAAACCACAGACTGTGGCTCCGAATCAGGAGGACCGAAAGCCGCCGACTGCGGTCCCGAAAGAGGAACAGAGGTCCTTGGACGGCTCCAGATCTCCTGCCATCGACGATTCCACTCCTCATCACGTCGACGCCGCTTCATCTCCCACTCCTCTTTTTGTCGACGCCGCTCCATCTCCAACTCTCGGTCCAACTCCCCAAAACGCCGGCGCACCCTCTCCCACCAGGATGAGGGCGGACGACTCAGAGCGGGCTCAGGGGTCTCCAGACGGCTCAGAGCGGGCTCAGGGGCTAAGGAGGCCACTATCTCATCATAGTGTCGAAGCAGCGCCTCCCACCTGGGAACGATCAACCAACGATCCGGCTCAGAGAGAAGCTATCACTCAGCTTATATAGGGAGAGGTTAATCAGCAGAGCTGATGGGAATCAGCTGAGCGCAGAGAACCAGCTCCCAGGAGAGGATCCACGGCGCCCTCTGGTGGGCAAACCTCTGGATCCCAACAGAAACAGAAGCCCACAGGAAGGGATCCACACAGCCCTCTGGAGGGCAAGCCCTTGGATCCCAACACTCATGCTCTAGAAATTTAATGATAATCATTAAATAACAATTCCTCCTAATGAGAAACATTTGATGACAAAAAATTGTCAACTTTTGATCAGAGCTGCACATTATTGTGTCCTTTCTACTGATAACGGATCTTTTAAAACTTTTTTTTTTTTTTATAAGCAATTGTAAATCCTGCGGAGGATGAGGAGAGCCCAGCTGCCCCCACCCATCCTCACCACCTTCTACAGAAGCAGCATAGAGAGCGTTCTGACCAGCTGTCTCACTGTGTGGTGTGGAGGCTGCAGCGCCTCAGACTGGAAGAAAGTTAGAAGAGTAGTAAGAACAGCAGAGAAGATCATCGCGGCTCCTCTTCCCCAAGCCCGTAACATCATCAATAAACCCTCACACCCCCACCATTGACTGTTCTCCCTGCTGCCCTCTGGGAAGAGGCTTTGAAGCATTCGATGCAGGTCCAACAGATTCTGCAACAGCTTCTCCCCCACCGCCTTCAGACAGCTGGACTGGCCCAGACTCTGCATCACACTGACAACAGCAAACCAAAATTCTGCATAATTGCACCATACATATTTAATGCTCTGAACTTCCATATCAATGCATGTTTTATTTTTTTTTCACAGTTTTTTTCTCCCACACTTTTTACATTTGATCACTGCTGCACTTTATGGAATGGAAATTGGAAAAAATTTCACTCTGCCTAACAACATGACAATAAAAGTTTTCTAAGTCTAAGAATTATTTTGTGTTGATAAGTAATTATAACCACTAGTTTTAGAACTTTGCACTGCTTTTAAAGCTCATTGTATTTAGAGGGCAGGGATTATTGACAATCATGTATACTAACAGATTAAAGAATAATAAGCTTTTCAACTGCAAAAAAATCAGCTGGGAACTTTGAACCTTGTATCTAAACTGAGCCGCCACCTCAGTATAGAAAATCAAACAGAACACGCAGAGTGATTGCACAGCAAACGTTTGTGGTTTTATTTACAAGTAGACACTGTGATAAGAAGGGTCCAAATGTCAGACAGGTCAAATGGTTTCACCCTCCTGTCTTTTAGCCTTTGGCACTAAATACTGTGTTTGGCTCCCTTGTTTATTTTCACATCGTTTAAGTCAGTCCACTGTAAATCAGACTCCTACGTGTTGGTCGTATTTTATCCTTTGAGTTCAATTGCTTCACAGGGAATGTAAATTTATAGGTCCATCCTGTATCTCCTCTCACTATCCCAGCCAGTGGACTTCCCTGTTCTCTGCAGATGCACTCATGGCCCTTACAGGCCTAATGTCAGGTTTATGCCTGATGTAAATTACTCTGCTTTCAGTCACTAGATGGTGGTGTTCTCCTTTGCTCTCAAGACTTGTGTTTATCTGATGAGCAAAGATCTCTCAAGAGCGTTTTAGAGCCATAAGACCTTTAGAAGTACATATTAATAGATCATTAGAAAATGATTTAAAAGCACTAGGTCATCTTATCTATAGGGGAACAACTCATGTTTCAGATGTTGCCCCAATTTTATTGT